TTTAAGGAGAGTGATCATATGAAGCCATTTATTATCATCTAGTAGTTTGTCTCTGTAACGGATCTCCTGGCACCCCGACTGGGTACCTCCGTTGAAGGATGCTCCTAGCGCTCTGGCAGACACCACAATCACTGAACCGGAGAAACAAATAAATTCTCCCAAGCATATGAATGCTGTAGACAGTTGAATAGGAACCATACGAATAGGTTTACTCTCCTAGCAGTCAAACTGGAACAGCATACAATAAATCCTTCCCCCAATAATGAGACACTTCACTTTGAGGGTTAAAACAGGAACTCCCTGTACTGTCGCATACAGTCTCTTTTATTCCCAATCCACAAACATAGCACAGCCCACAGGGTGTTACAAAACAACCAATCAATCCGTACAATATACCCAGACACTCCCACACAAAATCCTCCCCTCTGCCTGTGATATGATTACTGAACACAATGGGTAATCTCATTATCACCGGCAGAGGAATACAGTTTTTACACAATATTTATAACTTCTAAAATATACATGTCACAAACATAAAACATACATTTTAATAATCAATCCATTCAGGGGAACAACATATTAAAAAATGGCACGAATCAGACCAGGGGTTCAAAAGTTAAGGGAAAGTCCTTTGTGACTAAATGAAGCATGGCTTTCCGGCCCAAACCAGTTTCAGAGTCTTCTATCCTGGAGATAATTGAGAAGTAATTCAATTAACTCCCAGGACAGACACAAGACTCCATTATGCACATGGTGAGCACAAAGCATTAAAATATTATAAAATACACAGTCACATTTTATTCATAAAACACAGACATGTCGCATATCCCCAGATAACTGGGATCTGAGCGCACAAAACTACCGAATAGCGCTCAGATCCTATTCATACAGTTCAATTGCCATGGATCCGAAGTCTTTAACTACACGAATGGGCTCCATGGCATAGCTATCTGGGTTAACACATTCACATAAAGTCTGGTCCATAGTCCAAAGGCAAGAGACGGGCAAGCAGCCCCCTCCAAGGACACGTGGCGAGGCCGGTTTCGCCACAGTCTCCTTTTTAAATCATAACAAAAATTACCCAAATGGCCCTGATCAAAAGTTTACGTACCCTTGAATGTGTGGCCTTGTTACAAACATACAATGTGACACACACACACGTTAAAATGGCAATTAAAGGTTAATTTCCCACACCCGTGGCTTTTTAAATTCCAATTGTCTGTGTATAAATAGTCAATGTGTGTGTTAGCCCTCACATGGATCCACTAAGCAGGCTAGATAATGAGCCATGAGGAGCAGAAAAGACCTGTCAAAGACCTGAACTTTATTGAACTTTATTAATATGGAAAAATATATAAAAAGATATCCAAAGCCTTGAAAATGCAAATTAGTACTGTTCAATCACTTATTAGGAAGTGGAAAAATTGAGGATCTCTTGATACCAAGCCATGGTCAGGTAGACCAAGAAAGATTTAAGCCACAACTGCCAGAAGAATTGTTTGCTATACAAAGAAAAACCCACAGGTAACCTCAGGAGAAATACATGCTGCTCTGGGAAAAAAAGACGTAGTTGTTTCAAGGAGCACAATACGACGATACTTGAACAAAAATGAGCTGCATGGTCGAGTTGCCAGAAAGAAGCCTTTACTACGCCACTGTCACAAAAAAAGCCCAGTTACCCAATATGCCCAATACCTTGACACGCCTCACAGCTTCTGGCACACTAATTTGGAGTGACGAGACTAAAAAAAGAGCTTTATGGTCACAACAGCTTGTGAGCTTTAAAGGCACTGGGAATCTTGTGAAAATTGAAGGCTGATGAATGTTGCATGTTATTAGAAAATACTGGCAGACAATTTGCATTCTTTTGCGAATACCTTGTGAGAGTCTGACACAGATGTAGTGGTGGAGGACAAAGCGAAGAGTAATATGGAGCCGGTACAGTGACTACACGTGGTATTTACTCATTTTATTAGAATCACACAAGCTTATACACAGTTATACATTTTCACGTGAAGAGAGGTAAAGAACGTTGACTTGACGGCCTATCTGCTTTTAGTAAGATCCATACTGAACAACGTAGGCTGTACACCCTGTATGGTCCATATGGAAAGCCAGTCTGCTGCTAATAGGATCATGAAATGCCACACACACTATGGCTCCCTGGCACTCAGGGTCCGTCCGTCCCTATCGATGCAGAAGTTATAGTTTCTGGGATTGTCCAGAGCTGCCTCTATTCTCTCAGACAGGTTATCAGCTGTAATGAAGGTCTTGGAGATTTCCTTAAAGAAACAAATAGTAACGGCAATTAAAGTGAGCCAGGCAAGGAATGATGGAGGTAATTTCTGCTCCATTTCTAAAGCTAGGAGGGCGGTCTGCACAGTCAGGATTGAGGCAGAGTAAAATGGGATGAGGAGTCTGCACAAAAGGTTGCAGCAGGGAGTATAAGAAGGAGGGGCAGTCTGTAGACAAAAGGTCGCGGCAGGGAGTATAAGAAGGAGGGGCAGTCTGTAGACACAAGGTCGCGGCAGGGAGGGTAAGATGGAGTCTGTAGACACAAGGTCGCGGCAGGGAGGGTAAGATGGAGTCTGTAGACACAAGGTCGCGGCAGGGAGGGTAAGATGGAGTCTGTAGACACAAGGTCGCGGCAGGGAGGGTAAGATGGAGTCTGTAGACACAAGGTTGCGGCAGGGAGGGTAAGATGGAGTCTGTAGAAACAAGGTCGCGGCAGGGAGGGTAAGATGGAGTCTGTAGACACAAGGTCACGGCAGGGAGGGTAAGATGGAGTCTGTAGACACAAGGTCGAGGCAGGGAGGGTAAGATGGAGTCTGTAGACACAAGGTCGAGGCAGGGAGGGTAAGATGGAGTCTGTAGACACAAGGTCGAGGCAGGGAGGGTAAGATGGAGTCTGTAGACAATGTCGAGGCAGGGAGGGTAAGATGGACACACATTTGTAGTAGGATTACCAGACAGTATTACCTGAAGTTCATCGATTTCCTGCTTCTTTTTCTGGATGAATTCCTGCATGGCGACTTGACGCTGTTGCACAGACAGCTCGTGCTGTAATCGAGCTGCTTCTCCCTCCTGTTTCAATCTCTCCAGCCTGGAGAGGAGTATACATTTACACACTACAATACCACACAGTCAGAGCAACAAGTACAGACAAGGAGTAAATAACAGACAGGAATACAGAAAATACACATGTAGAAATATAGAGATTTCTAAGTGAGCTAACATACATCAGCATGTATTACACCCTCTGGATTTATAATGCACTGACTCCAGACTGAGAACTTCTTGTATTGCACCAAGAGGAACGAGGTGAAGTAGCACGTACAGTGAGAGGATCAAACAGACTCCCATTTACAAAGAATTATACCCCCGGATGGGGGAAGACGCAGACTGCCGCGCACAGAAAGCGGGCGGTGCAGACTGGCGCGCACAGAAAGCGGGCGGCGCAGACTTGCGCGCACAGAAAACGGGCGGCGCAGACTGGCGCGCACAGAAAGCGGACGACGCAGACTGCCGCGCACAAAAAGCGGACGCTCCTTCCCACAAACGTTTGCCACGGACTCGTGGAGGAGTGTAGAAACCAGCCTCCTGCCCACCGACTATGGTCCAAGGTCTATGACACATGGTTTGGGGTTAACCTGCCCAGCCGCCATTAGCAGCTTTCCCCAAGTGTCCCTGGTTCAGCACTTTCCCTTCTCACGAATGTAAGTGAACGTTCGCTCTCTGGCGGCCGTTCACATGAACCAATCAAATGAATGGTCCTCAGCGGTACTTAGCCACGACCGCTATGGAACTAACTTTGGCATGAGGACTTTGTGGGTTCTCGGTCACTGCAGTGGGACTTAGCTGCGAATGTTATGGAACTGTTTTCGGCATGAGGTGACCGAAAATGCAGTTCCCGGACAACTTGGTTCACGATTTTGAACCA